CCCAATATGCGTTTTTGCAATTTGCATATAGGCAAAAACGCATAAAAACGCATGATCGCACCGGAGAGCCTGGTGCGTTCCAGCCAGGGTAATGTTTTAACTGTCACCCAGTTTCTTCGATGTTTTAGAAATTTATAAATATACAGATTTTGCAAATCCCCATGATACCATTAATCGGCCTACCAGTATACCCATTTAACTTCACGTGTTAGCAGAGACGATTATGACTTTGGTTTCAAAAAAAAAATGTAATTTCTTTCATACGGAATCAGGTTGATTGCAGTATCTTCAGAGTAGCAGCATAAACAAAATTTTTTCCTGGTGGTGAATTTCAAAATTCTGCGACAGCAAAGGATGTTTTTTTATATTTCTTTAGAAGAACACACTGGTAAATGCCGTCATATTAAATCGGTTAACACCTCGAGATTACTGGTCACATAAAAAACGCAGAGTACAACGAATACAGATTATTTTTAAAGGGTTTGGGATTAAATTCAGCCTTCCAAACGGGAGAATAAGGAGCATTTGCCCTCTTTTACTGCTTGACTTCGTGCACCAGCCCATTTAAGTCATTACCACCCGAGACCTCTATTTTGTCACTGGAACAATTCATAGATCTAATGGAGTCGCTAACTTGGGCCGAAAATTTCATTACTTTCTATCTTTTACAAAATATTTCAGTCTGCAACTTTGCCAGCACCTTGCGGACTTTAGAGTTCGAAACTGTGTTGCAGTTTTTTGGATGAATGGATAGTCTATACCGTGCTTATCACCGTTCAACAGAGCCTGCCTTGCGCATAATGTATTGACAGAGAGCATTATCTTGAGAGACGGAAGAGAAGGGAGGGACTGAGTACGGTTACCGAGTTAACAGGCCATCAGTAACCAGAACTAAATATTCACTTGTGCATACTCGAAACCTAGACATTCCTTAAGGCTGGATTTGGTCCGCTCCTTGAGCACGCGAAGCAAGCCGTCCCAACGGCCAAATTCGAGGATTTCTGCAGCTTGCAGCTGTTAGAAAAGGTTCATGAAAAGGGACAAAATTCAAAGCGAGGAGTACACTCTTCTCTGCAGACGCATTAGACGTAGGCTAAAGGAGGATTTTGTGAATCGTCGACGGCAAACAGGGACGGTTCACAAAAAGAGCCTGAAGAAATGCCGGAGAGAACTGCTGCCATACTATCTCATAATGGCGGTACAGAAGGACGGAAATGTATGTCGGATAACGAAATGAGCAGATGTGGAGAGCATATAACATTCGGCAAAAATCTTTTTGCGTCGTAAACCGGCATTCCAGCACATCTAATTCTCACTACCAAGCAGCAGATTCCTACAACACTTACCAGCGAGGTAAAGTACGCAGCCGTGAAAATGAAAAGTGGATAGGCTCTCGAAAACGATGGCACTGCATTAAACTGATCACATTCGGAGGACACCAACTTTTTAAAGGTACTGACATTCGCTCCATCGATACTTGGTCGAGAGAAAAACACCCAGTAGCTATATAGAGCTGAAAACGGTTTTGCTACACGCAAACGACGATGAAGATCTGAAGTATTATAGGCCAATCTGCTTACTCTCTCATATTTGCAAGTTATTTACGAGGATTAACACTAACGTCGGTTGAAAAGACTCCTTGACGAACAGTAGCCAAGGGAGCATGCTTTTCTCCGAAGTAATTATTAGTACAATCGATCACACTTTCGCTCCAGAAGGGAGCATTAACTTTCTTTTTGCATCCTACTAGTTGGTTACAAAAAACTGCTCGATAATGCAGAGTTAAATGGTATGCTATAAGCTCTCGTAGATGGAGGGATTATCATCGCTCGCCATGGTAGGAGCGCATACATGGACAATTTTGAACATTTTATTCGAATCTAACCGAGGAGGAATATGCCGATCCGCGACGAGTGAAATGTACAGAAAATGATTCGTGGAGACCACTGCCTGCTGGCGATGAACTCCATTACCCCGCGCCCTCTCTCTCCAGGACTGATCAAAAATATTTTCCCATCCCTCCACGTTACGATCTGTTCGGTCGTTCATCGTGCCTCAAACACACTGAGGGCGCCGGATGAAGTTCTATTGATTTTTAGGAGCAGGTGATGAAATATTGTAATGCGTCCTGTCCCCATATTATGCAAATGCAAAAACACATATTGGCAAGAGGTTATCTGTGTTTGTCTGTGTGTGTGTGTCTGTGTCTGTGTCTGTGCGCCTTTTGCCACTCACTTTTAGCTCGAGAACCAGTAAAGCAAGGGAGTTGAAACTCTGGAAGTATGCGTCCACGCTAGGTGCGATCCCTCTCCCCTTTTACGCGTTTTTGTTGTGCAGCTACTACAGCGAGCAAAAACGGATGTTGTTGAGAGGTCGTCCGTGTGTGTGTTCGGAAGGGAGTGAACTTTTTCAGCGACTTTCAACTCAGCAGCCAGGAAAGCCGGAAGATGAAATTTTGGAGACACTCCCACCCTGTGCGTTACCCTCCCGTTTTAAAATCTTCCCTCGTACGCGTCTAGATCTCTCGTACGGGCCCCCCAAAAAAATATCAATATTCCATTGGTGGAAAACGATTCCTCGAACCAGACAAGATAGAAAACTGAAACTTTGCAGGGATATTCTCAGTGCATGTGCGAGGTAAAGATTTCAAATTCAGCCATCGCGCACTCTCATTCCACTGCGTACGGTCACGTCAAAGTTCGCAACTGGCAATGGTGCTCGTGCTTTATCCGGTAAGCGAAATATAGACTTTGCTACAAATATCTGCGAAGTGCTCTAAGTCGTGGCGGAAGTGCAAATCAGCACTCATTTTAGGGTGTACGATTTCCCACATGGGCGACAAACATGCTGAAGAAATTTCAGCCACTGTTTTCCGGCAAGTTTTCGAGTTAGTACAGTAGCAAGTTGCAAACTTTGACGTGATCGTACACGCTGCTCGAGCGTCCACGACAGCTGAATTTGAAAAGTTTTGCTTGCACATGCACAGAGAATATCCCTGCAAAGTTTCAGTTTTGTACCATGTCTGGTTCGCGAAATCGTTTCCCGCCAAAGAAATCTACACATTTCTTTCAGGCGCCCGCAGGCGGTATGAGCGAAAATTTTAAAACGGGAGGATGGCACACGGGGTAGGAACATACACCCAAAGTTTCAGCCTCCCAACTTTTCTGGTTACTGAGATGAAAGTGGTTGGCAAAGTTCATTCGCTTCTGAACACACATACAAACACACACACGCACACAGATGGCTTCTTGGTAATGCGTTTTTGCTGGACCTGAGTGTGCTATATCGCTGCACTTCAAAAACGCTTAAAAAGAAAGTACGATTACACCGGCTCTCTAATACACTTATTTATTTGAAAAATGTTCCTAACTGTCGTCTATCTTTAGAAACAGCTATGGGCGTATCGATAAATGCGCAGATGGGTGAAAATCAGGATTTCTACATCGCAATTACTCGAATTTTCGAATTACTTTTCAAAAACCTGCGTTATCCGTGGCTTTGGGTAAAGCCAATTTGGTACGCTCTTGGTTACGGAGCTGAATATGACAAACATGTAGATATCGTGCGCAGCCTGGTTGTCAAGGTCAGTGCATTTCAGTGGCCTGATGAATGTCGGCATTCGCTCCCATCTTTGATGGTTGGGCCACAAAGCTGCGACGTAATGAAGGTACTTTCAGAAGAGTGGCAGAAATAAGCTATCATCTTAATCTCTTAAGATACACTTGTTGTGCAAAAACGTGAAGATTAAGGTACTGCTAGTCGTAAGGCATTATGTTCGGAGCTGGAGGGTGCTAAAATGTGTGTATTTGAAATAGTATACCAGAGGGATTGTAATCAGTCTTCATGTATTAAGTGATATTTTACGGTGCAAACTGCCTTTCATGCTTTAGATGTAGTAGGGTGATATTTTACGATGCAGTCTTTGTTTCATCCCTTAGCTGTAAATACAGACCGAACTGTGCATGCGGGTAGGACTAGAAATCATCAGCACAGTCTCCATTCGTCATCTCAATTTGAAAATTGAAATGACGAATCCGAGCAGTAAATTAATTTGAAATTACTGAACTTATTCAGGGAGTGGTGAACTCTTCTTTCCGAAACGAGGGGGATTACTGAATTCAGCAGTAAGCTGAATAGGGATGCGAAATTCAGCCAAAAGTGAGGCGCAGCAGACGAACGTCTCACCCATTAAGAATGTTAGGAACTGAGCTACACGAAGCAAGGAAAGGTGGACGGCGCTTTATTTCACTGAAGGTTTAAAAATCACATCTGGTCATTAATGACGGGACATCAGCACAAAATTAATTTTGCACGTTGCTGCCGTGAATTCCATTGTTTTATCCAATATTTTGCGCCCTTGGATAAAAAAGTCTTAAGATAATGAGAGCAGTAATACGCGCATAGGACTGGTTTTAAGCTGCTTGCGAATGGCTGTTGCGAGCATAAAAAATCGAATAAACTGTACTTATTTTTCCTCATCCCGTTTGATAAATGAATCTTATAAAAAACGGGTTTGTAACTTCTCCTTCTGAATCTGCAGTATCAGTTCTAACTACTGCTTCTGATCACGGTCATAAAACATCGAAGTCTAGTAGCTTATTCGCACGCTCCTTGCCGTCCGCCTCATCATTTCACTCCTACTACGCAGTATGCAACTCTGAAATTTCGAGTTCGTATAATCCATCGTTTTCTGAGTTATAACAAAAACTTGACTTTAAATGTGACGCAACAATTTAGGAGAAACAAGCAACCGGAAGAAAATTTCAGATGCAGCACTGCTTACTGTCGGAAACTTATTTCATACAACTTTAGTTCCCAGCCTTCCCAATCTGGAAATTGATTTAACTGTGCAAATGCGAAAAGATAATTTTGCGACAAAGTAAAAGGCGCAAATTCTTAAAGCACGATGGTCGATATATTTTGCGTCCCACCCTTCTAAATACTCCTAATATCCCACCGGTTTAATTGGATTTCATTTCGAAAAAACTGAAAACTCGTAATGAGTAAAAAGGAGTTGAAGGAGGGACAGGGAGAGACTGGTTATAACAGGAACGCTTGCATAGCCTCGCTGTTTTGCTTTCAATGTCAGCGTGCTGTTCATACAGACTGACTATTTATTAAAAGTGCGCCGAATTGATTTCTTGCAGGTAATCGAAGAAAGAAAACGAGAATTTGAAAACATGGAAAATGAGCCAACTTTTGAGGAACTGTCAACAAGTGCAAGAAAATTGGCCTTCTTGGATTTGTTGCTAAGTATGAGGAAAGAGCATAAGCTAACTGATGATGATATCATGGAAGAAGTCGGAACATTTATGGTTGCAGGTTTCCGTAATCTATGTTATCTGAATCTTTGCGAATGATATCCCCTCGACTGGGAGAGGAAAGAAAGAAAAGAGAGGCGATGAGTTTTGTGGCCTAGCGTCAAAAAAATTTTTTTTTTCACTAACTGTGTATTGAGCAGGATCGGTGGACCGTTTGTTGACTGCATTATGCGATCTGTATATGCCATTCATAGAATAGGATAAGCGTGAAGCGAAAACGACTGCGGAATCGTTATAACGATCACAATTAAATCCGACTATCGCTCAACTTTCTTCCAGAGTATCTTAAACTTTGGCCAGTATCCGACGGTGGACATTGTGTATGTGCAGTGCTTCCTACCGGAACAGTTTCGAAATTAGTGTCTGATAGAAATGCTTTTGAATGTGTGTAACACTAACTCATCCCGATCCCAAACGAACCTTGCGTATCCACATTAACAGATGCATAATCCTGACTTCTGAAATCAATGGCTGAACATAGAACTTAACTATTTAAACGCACTTCAACTTGCACCTTGTAGAAAAAGCGATGCGTTGCTGAATCAGTCCGTTACGAAGCAAAGTAGCATGAATCGGTAACAAATTTCCATCTGAAGACTGACATTTAGTGCCTGGCACGTTAACGCAGTATTCCGTGAGAGGTCTTGTCTCAACTCATCTTTTTCTCTCTCTCTCTCTCTTCCTCCAAAAGAAGTAAGAAGAGGATCGATGATTCCGATTAATGCCAAGAATACTATTAGGCAACAAGTGATGCAGCAACGGTCACAGCAGTGTCGAGAACACGAATTAGCCTTCAGTTTCATAAATAAATGTGTTGATACTCTCAGTATAAAAATTTAATAATGTCCAGTCATTGGATTTATTGCTGTAGGAACTACCGAAAATCTGCTGAGACACCTTAGCCGTCAGTGAGACTATATGTCGAGCAGGGCTAGCTGCAGCATGAAAAGATGCAGAAGATCATGCTGAGAGCTTTCGAAAGAGGATTCACTGTCAGATCACAAGTAAAAAACAGAATCATCTCGAGCCACTCAACATCGCAAGCGGTTGAAATGCTTACTGTTTGTATCAGAGGAAAACCACAATGAAAGTTTCATATTTGTCTGCTCATCCATTTCAGTTGCCAAAGATGAAGATACAACGCTTTCCTGTGAGGAAATCAATGTAATTTCACGCTAGAAGACAACCTACACGATGGGCCTTGAAGTCTTCAGTGCCAAGGTCCGAAATAACCTACACGATGGGCCTTGAAGTCTTCAGTGCCAAGGTCCGAAATAAAATTCGGTCAGAAGAATTTATCGACCTTTTGATCTGGACACAAGAAATGATAAAAACCAGAGACTGTGGATTTTGCCGAAAGCTTAAAACCCTACATAATGAATTCATTCTTTTAAAAAACGTCCTGAAATGCACCGGGAATGAAAAGCGCTAAAGAGCGCGCAGGCAAACGCAGATTGGTTACAGACTGATCCTCACCTCCGAATTAGCTTCTCCCGTATAATCTAATCGTAGGAGTCAGGATCAGAATTAAGTTCCAGAATGAAGAAAAAGACTCCTGTCACGACGCCACGCAGTATTAAAAGAACACAGGCCACCAGTGCAGTGGAAGAATCTGTTCGAACTCCTATACAGAATTGTGTGTACGAAACACACGCAAACGAAAGAGCATTGGATAATTTGCCAACTGCATCAGTGCCTAGAAAATGATAAAGAAACGGCAATTGCAAAAACTCGGTTCGGCTCGGCTTGGCTCACATACGAACTGCAAAAAATGTTTGCATGGCGGATGGCGGCAGTTTGAATGTGGCAGGTAGAAGTGGGGATGGCATGTGGCGGGTTTCATTCGAGGCAGGGGAGAGAGCTAGGATAAGTGAATATAAGGATTAAATGGATGTAGATCATTTTCCGACTGACTAAGTGACGCAAATTTGAAGGGGAAGGGGGGAGCGGTGAAAAACGGGAAGGATGAGGAGGTGTGCTTCTGGTTTTTACCGTAGGATACCTGAGGCAGAGAAAGGTAAATACTGTTTGTTTGAACAGTGATATTACAGTAGGGATGGAGAGGAGTTTATATCTTGTTTGCTAGCAGGATTTGGGTAGAGAAGAAAAATGGGGATGCAAGCCAGGAACTCAAGGCAAGAACTGGAGATAGCAATAAAGAGAAAAAGGCAACACTGCGCACACAAATAAAAGTGACTTAACGTAAATCTGACTTTATGAATAAAAGTAAAAGGAATTGAGGTTTTGCTAGTGGAAGCTGATCCACAAAAACCCGTTATCAGTAGGGGACTTCCCTATTTATGAAACTGATGCTTAGGTAAAGCTGTCCCGTAAAATCCAGTCATTAGGCTTCCCTATTTATAAAAGTGATGCGTAGGTAAAGCTGAGGGCTAATAAATTCCATGAAGTGAGCAACAGCAGGGTAGACTGGATACACAGGAATGAAGTCAGCCTTCACTTCTGTGAGATTTTGAAGGCAAAAAAAATAGAAGTATAACTGTTTTGTATAGTTGCAGGCTGTGAGAAGCAACACTGTGGAATTGTCTGCAATTCTTGTGTAAATCCAATCGAACATATTTGCCCTCTGCTTCACCTAAGCATAAGTTTTAGTAAATCTTGTCGAACTTATCTGCCCTCAGCTTTACCTAAACATAAACCTCACAAATGCGGAAGCCGCTTATCTACTCGCATAAACTCAGTTTTTGTTTGTTTTTGGCCACAGGCTCCAATTCTTTGATTTTACTTTTTATGCGTTTTTTGCAGCAATGCAATGCGAAAAACGCATATTGACGAGAGGTTGTCT